GCGAAGCTGCTCAACTATAAGTTTTTCCAGGATTTTAGATATAAAAGTGAGGTTTGAGATCGGTCTGTAGTTTGTAAGTATTTCTGGGTCCAGGTTTGTTTTCTTCTTGATAACCGCGGTTTTAAAAGCTTGTGGGACATAGCCACATTGTATGGATGCGTTTATTATATTTACGATAGGCTCAATTATCAAAGGAAGTATGTCTTTGAAGAGCCATGTCGGGACTGCGTCTAACATGCAAGTTGAGGCTTTTGAGGATGTGACCACAGAGATCACCTCTGCTTGGCTCACAGCCATGAATTTATCGAGGCCCACTGAAGAGTCTAAGTGGGAAGTCACGTATGCCGCTTCAGCCTGTCCACTACCAACAGCCGGAGTAACCTCCTCCAGTTTGTCACGGATGGATGTGTAATTTTATTATTAAAGAAGTGGAGAAAGTCGACACTGCTCAGTGAGCTTGGAATTTTAGGCTCGATTGCGCTATGGCAGTTTGTGAGTTTAGCGACGGTGCTAAACAAAAATCTACTGTTATTTTTATTCGCTTCTATTAAAGTTGAATAGTATTGAGTTCGAGCCCTGCGAAGGGCATTCTTATAGTTTCGGAGACCTGCTTTCCACTCCCTGTGGACAGGCTCCGAGTGGGAGTGGCGATATAGCCTCTCCAATTTTCTGACGTCCTGTTTTAAAGTGTGGAGTTGAACACTGTACCAGGGCGACGATGATCTAATCCTAATAGTTTTCTGTTTTAAAGGAGCTGCTGCATTTAATGCAGATTTTAAAGACTCCATAGTGTTGTCCACCGTTTGGTCAATGACTGAGGGACTGCAGCAGCTGTGAACAGGTTCACCTGCAGCAGTATTCAACATAGGCTGTATTAGTTCTTTGAACCTTGTGATAGATTTATCATTTAAGGTTCTTTTCATTATGGTTTTATCTTGCGGCGCAGGAAAGTCCTCCAAATCGAGATCAAACGTGATCAAGAAATGGTCAGACAGCTACGAGCTTTGACGCTGGATGTCAACATTGGAGACATCACAGCCGTAGGTCAGGACAAGGTCCAAGGTGTGGTTATGAATGTGAGTAGGTTCCTCAACATTCTGAGTAAAACCAACACCATCTAGTACGGCGCTGAAAGCTTTGTTTAAGCTGTCAGTGCTGTCGTCCACATGTATATTGAAGTCTCCAGTTATGACTATGTTTTCCCATTCCAAAACTAGGTTTGAAATGAAGTCAGAGAATTCTGTTAGGAACTCGCTGTAAGGACCAGGAGGTCGGTATAAAACTATAAATAGCACCGCTTTTTGTTTTCTCCACCCAGGACAGGTGATTGAAAGTGTTAAGTTTTCAAACGAGTGAAAAGCATTGTTGGTTTTGGGACTAAGAACTAAGTTGGTGTGTGATATAATCGCAACACCACCGCCGCGACCTGTAGTTCTCGCTTTCTGGTAGTTAACATGCGTCGGAGGAGTGCACTCATTCAATCTAACGTAGTCGTCCTGTTGGAGCCAAGTCTCCGAGAGCGCAAACAAATCCAAGCCCTTGTCTACAATAAGTTCGTTTATGAGAAGCGATTTAGATGAGATTGATCTGACGTTCATTAAACCACATTTAACAACCCTACTGTTAGAATTATTTCTGTCTGTCTGAACTTTTATTAAGTTACTGTGTCTGACACCCAGGTCAGATTTCCTCGCATATAGTGCTTTAGACTTCAAGCGAGGAACACACACAGTTTCAATCTGACTAGGTTCTGAGGCTAGTAACTGAGCACACACAGGCACACACACACATGCACACACAGTTTCAATCTGACTAGCTTCTGAGGCTAGTAACTGAACAGATGGGGGCTCAGAGGTTGTGGCAGAGCAGCTCTGCACCCGGGCCTCAGTTCTGCACCGTCATTTGAGCCGGGCAGAACAGTTTAGAGCCAGGGCCAAATTCTTAGCCAAAAGGGATGTACCCGCCAACGTTGGGTGGATATCATCCGAGCGGATGAGACCGGGCTTTCCCCAAAAGGCACTCCAATTGTCAACATGAACAACACCACTTCGAGGGCACCAGCCAGACAGCCAGCGGTTGAAAGCCGAGTGTCTGCTGAATGCTTCTGTACTGCTAGTGCTAGGTAGGGGCCCAGAGAAGATGACAGTGTCGGCCATTGTGCTAGCCAGCTTGCACACCGCGGCGACTTGCAGCTTCAACACCTCGGACTGTTTCCGCCGAACGTCATTACCACCCGCGTGAATAACAATTCAACGGAAACGCTGCTTGTGGGTCATCATGAGCCTCAGATTCCCTTCAATATCACCAAGCCTGGCCCCAGGGAAGCACCGAACAGTGGCTCCTGGGATCTTAACACCTCTAACAATAGAGGAGCCAATTACCAGCGCATCAGCGACTCCATCGGCTCTCTCAGCAGCTCTCTCAGCGGCTCTCTCAGTGGGGCCTTCTTCCCCGCCCGGCCGCGCGGGGGCGCAGCCGGACAGAGCGTCCCAGCGATTGTAAATGCTAACAGGAGGAGGCCCAATGGGGAAACTACCAACAACACGTCGCCCCCTCCGAACAGTCACAAAGCCATCACTATCCTGGTCTTGTCCCAGCTGCGGAGGACGGGCTGGGAGGCTAGGCTCGCTAGTTCTCCTCTGCCTTTCCCTAAAGCTGCGCTCCGCTGTCCCTGAGGATACGGCCTGGCTGTAGCTAATGCTAGCGCTAGCTCGAGACTCCAGTGCTCGGAGACGCAGCTCTAACTCACTGACCCTGGATTCCAGAGCTACGACTACACTACACTTCACACATCTATCACTACCCTCAGAGAAGGATCCAGGGTTTAGACTCGCCATATGGCAACTCGAGCAGTAAAGGACTGAGGGAAAGACAGCAGCCGCCATAGGAGTAGCGAGTTAGCGGCTAGGCTAGGCTAAGCCAGTCCGGATCCGGGCCCGCACAACAGACTCCGAGACCAGACAAACAACCGCTACCTAAACCTCAGCTACAGTACAGCTGACTCGGAGTGCTTACACAGTTAGCTTGGTGTACACTACGTGGATTTGTAATGTGTTTGTTAGTGCAAACAGAGAGCAGAGTGATAGTAGTCAAGAAACACGCTCACCGGATACAGGAAGTCAGACGCTGAGGATCAGGTAGGATTAGGAACCAAAGAACACAACTCCTATACTGTATATATATATATATATATATATATATATATATATATATATATATACATATATATATATATATACAGTAGTACAGAGTGTAGATTCACTCTGAAGGTATCAAAACGCATATGGAATTATGTACATACTAAAAAAAAAAGTATGAATAAACTGAAAATATGTCTTATAGGTTCTTCAAAGTAGGGCCTTTTGCTCTGGTTACTGCTTCACACACTCTTGGCATTCTCTTGGCCCTGCACCCACCACTCTCCTTATTGGTCAGATAGCCATTGCACAGACTGGGTGTGAATCTACAGTAAATAGTCATGAAAAGAAAGGGTACTCATTGAATGAGAAAGTGTGTCCAAACTGTTGGTCTGCACTGAACACACATTCTCTGCATGTAACCTCTTTGGCCAGGGTTACTCGAGTAGTAGCATTCCAACAGAGCCCTGTTTTCGCACCTAGCCCACTTTCGCCTTGTTCCAGTAGCCCACATTTTCGAGTTTTAACATCCGTGGTCTGAATCTCTTCCTGATTATTCCTGCAGGGTATCTGATCACTGGCAGGGCGTAGCTGTTAATTGCCCGGGCCTTGTTTTTGCCATTGAGCCGGCTTCTTAGGACCTGCCTTACTCGCTGGAGGTATTTGGCAGTTGCCGCTTTCCTCGTTGCCTGCTCGAGGTTGCCATTGGCCTGTGTTATACTGAGATACTTGCAACTGTCCTCAACGTCTGCTATTGTTCCCTCTGGGAGTGAAATCCCTTCTGTGTGGACTATATTGCATCTCCGAGTCACCATCCTGCTACATTTCTCGAGTCCAAATGACATCCCGATGTCATGGCTGTAGATCCTGGTGGTTTGGATCAGACAGTCGATGTCTCTCTCGCTCTTGGCGTACAGCTTGATGTCATCCATGTAGAGGAGGTGACTGATCTTTGCTCGGTTCCTGAGGCAGTATCCATAGCCAGTCTGGTCAATTATTTGGCTTAGAGGGTTCAGGCCTATCCAGAACAGTAGTGGGGACAGAGCGTCACCTTGGTAGATACCATATTTGATGGTCACTTGTGCGAGCGGCTTGCCATTTGCCTCAAGGATGGTCTTCCACATCCCCATCGAGTTTGCAACAAAGTCCCCTGTTGATATTGCACAACTTCAAGCATTCCATGATCCATGTGTGGCATTGAGTTGTAGGCTTTCTGATAATCAATCCAGGCTGTACGGCCATATTAGTCCGGTCCTCAGGTCTCTGCACTGGCTTCCTGTGGCTCAGAGAATAGACTTTAAAACAGCTCTGCTTGTGTACAAGTCTCTCCATGGCCTCGCACCAAAATATATTAGTGACATGTTAGTCCCATATGAACCAGCCCGGACTCTGAGGAGCACAGGGACTGGACTCCTGTTAGTGAGTAAGGACTAAACATGGGGAGGCTTCTTTTCAGATTCATGCTGCTAAAATCTGGAACAATCTTCCTGAAGATGTGAGACAGGCCTCCTCTCTGACAATGTTTAAAACCAGGTTAAAAACAGTTCTGTTTAGCTGTGCATACACCTGAGGGAATTTATATTTGTATGTTTCTTTTTAATGTTCTGTAATTATTTATGATTTTAATGCTATCTTGTTCAGCACTTTGAGTTGCCTTGTGTATGAATTGTGCTATACAAATAAACTTGCCTTGCCTTGCCTTGCCTAATCTCATTAGTCATGTTAAAAAGACAGAAATACCAGATAGTAGTGAGTGTGAAGTTACTGTATGTGCACTTCTGGCTCTATGTTTAGTTTAGTTTATCATGTTTTGGCTTCTTCTTCACTTTGTGAGTTATAGTCTATCTGAGCATCCACACGGGTCTAATCCTCCAGTGCCCCACCCAGGATCCTGGCTCGGATCCGTGAGGGGCCTCGGGGCTCTGCAATGCGGTTGAAGATGACAAATTTCCCTGTACAGAAAGAAGTGCCTTTGAAATGTTTTCTTACACAAAGCTAGTGAAACATGCAACTGCACAAGGAAAGGTAAAACAACATTCACATTGAAGAATAGATTATTTGAATGTTTTTACACACAGTCACTGTTGTGTCCACACACAACAGATCTGTACAAAAACCTATTCTTGTGAGTTTGTTTTTCCTTCCCATGGATTTTGCCCAGAACCACTGAACTCTTCACCTCCGCAGTGTGTAACACGCTCTGAAGGCTGTTTTTGTCCCATTTGGAAGCCATTCATTTCCACATGAAAAGACAAGTTGGGCCCAATCCCTTTCTACACGTCCGCTCAGTTTGGGGTGTACAATGGCGGGGGAACAAAAGGCAGTGGCCCTTACAGTGCGCCCATCATGCTCCTATGCCACGGCGCATTGTTACCTCGCTGAACTCCAGACTCAAGACTAGACGCACTTCCCCAATTCCCCAAAGCCGTCTCCGCCTGACCGGGACACTCCTCTGACCCGGGACACTCCTCTGCCACAGCGCGGGGATTAGGGCTCCGAAAAGAAATGTGTAACTTTGTTTCACTCTCGCAACATTTCTAGACATCAAGCTAAACTTCTCCAGCTAACAACATGCATTTCAAGTAGTGTTTCATTGATATTAATTGAAACGTTCGGAAGTCATTCCTTTAGACTGGGCCTTTCTATGTGGAGTTTGCACAAAGCTACACAGTCACAGCGACGGTTCTGGATTTAATTCTACCTCTTGGACCATTCTGCATGACCTCTCCGTGCCTGTGTAGGTTTCCCCAGGTACTTCGCTTTCCCCTACCACTGAAAAACATTCCAGTAGATTCATTGATATGTACGGCCAGCTGGATGTCTTTAGGCAGAATGGTCGCCCTAGACTTCATTTAAAGATAAAGCTCTGGAAGGGTCTGCCAATCCATTGGATACTCTTTTAAAAATGTCCCTAGTCTGAACTGTCCTAGTCGTGGAAATAACTATGAACTCTTTATAACATAATGGCCAGATGAAGAAGACTTGTTTTAAAGAACACCTTGGTTTGAGACAACCTTTGGCATTTAAAAATGTATTTAACAGTACTTTCTTCCTGTTGCCTCGGTTACTACAACCGCATAACACACAAAAAGACTGCATTGTTTCCCTGCAAGTCAGCGAAGTGAAGACTGCCGACTGTTAGGTGTATTTGTGGCCGCTGACGCTACCCAGGCTAATGCATTTCTTCTGTTCCTTTTATAGGTATTTTCCTAAAAATCGACAACCGTTAGAGCAGGATGTGGGCAACATATCACATAATACTGTATATATACATTGTGTATGTATAATATACATAATGTACATATATATTATATACACATACATGTGTGTAGAGCCCTGGGAGCTTGAGGGTTCTGTGCAGTATCTTTGCTGTTCCAAGCATTGCATACAATATCCATGCTACATTTTACATACGGTAGGACAATAATTTGCATTTAGAGCCAATATAGAGCCATGGTATACAAAATAAAATAAAACTGCTAATTAGATAATAAAGTTTAGTCTTTAGGTTTTAGAACCTATTACTGCATGGGTCTGAACTGCTGCTGTTTATGGCCCATTATAGCTAATGCAAATAGATCAAACTATGTGATTTAAAACAGTGTTATTAAATTAAGACTTTGGATTCTAGGGTTTTTATGAAGACATTTTTGATTAGTCAATAAATAATTAATAAAACTTTTTTTTTTTTAAATCTGAATTTTTAATATGGCAGGAAAACATATTAAAATGCTACATAAAACGTACACATTAATACAATATTTTGTCTTTTTATTTAGGAATGTGAGGCTTCAAAGCTATGCAATTATTTTATTGTAAGATTTGTGTAAGGAAAAATTAAACACATTTCAGTTATCTATTATTTTTCAATATTATGTTTAAATCATTTGTATATTAATATTATATAATATACTTCATTTTAGTCTACTAACTGTTTGAATTCTGCTTTGTGATATTTTTAATATATTACTTGAATACAATATATGCATTGGTGCTTTTACCTTTAATTTATTGGAGATTGATTGTTATGACAATATATCAACAAATGTAAGTATTTTTGGAAGAGGAGAGTATCTCGCAGATAGCATGTTAGATAGTACACTTTCATAGTTCGCTTTAACAATAGATTTCACAGTTGGCGGAAATGTTATTCCCTGTAACCTCAACAGTTTGACCATTGGAATTTCAGCAGCGTTCCCTAATAGTCTCATTTACCCAATTGCCACTTAAATGATATATTCAATAGTGGGAGCCATTCATAAGACCCCTCATCTTTTTCATTAGATTTGCACCCATGTCAAAGGATTTAAACAGTGTGTATGTGTGAGTTGGAGCATTCCGCCCCTCTCTTACCCAGGGGGCCGCACAGGCCCATGACCCACATGGAGCTGGGACCGGCTCTTGACATGCGCCGCATTGCTCTTTTGATGATGCTGCACTTTTTTCTAATGTTCTCTTCTGTTGGACTTGTGCTCTATCTACAGCTTATAACTCTAAAATATAACTTTTAACAAATATGATGTAATATGTGTCTTCATATTGTCCCTGAAACAAGATCTTGAAATATGGACTTTGGCATTCAATCTTTTAGAGTATGGAATATGTTGAAAATGTATGGATTAAGGTAGAGCTAATTTCCAGTATTTCCAGGTTGTCAGAATTAACATACCGCTCAATATTGAATCAAAAGTGGAAATTACATCCTGTTTTTTAAATAACTGACTAACATTGTGCAAACTTGTGAAAAAGTTGTGAAGAATATTACTTGACTGGAATACGTCAGAATCTGTTTTAAAAGGCATAAACAATGATAATAAGAGGTTTTGAAAACAGAAATTACTAATTTTACTTGCTCCGCAATTACAACAATGAGGGTATATATCAATTTGTCCTAAACTCAAGTTTTTCACTTGATTTCTTATGTGACACACGCAGTTGTCAGAAGCACTGTTGATATTGAAGAAGGCTACTGTAGAAACAACCTAATCAATGAATTGTATTATCTCATTCAATTCAAAAGCTTTTTAATGTTTTCTTTTTTTTTTCAATACACCATATTGTACGTGGTGTGAAGTATGGCTTGAAACTTTTTAATTTTACTGATTTTGAATAAAACATGTACAAATAAAATATAAAACATTTACATTCACCTAAATAGAATAGGGGCACAAGCCAAGAGGGGCCTCACTTGCCACTTGGGCTTGGACTTGGGCCTTAGAGTACATTCTAGCTTGGATTGAGACTAAGGAATTGTAGACTGATAAATGTTTTTTGATGAATTAGAAATAATTATGCTTTGATGTAATTGTTCAGAGCAAAATAAACAATGTAGTTGTTTTCTTATTTTCAACTGTAGGTCGGCTTCCAGATTAGTAGGTAGGCCAGCTAATTCGTAAGCAGATGAGGGTGTATTTAAGGTTGAGTTTTAACCGCAACACTATTATATACAGACTTCTCTGTTTTGAAATCAGAACATAAGCTTTGCACTGTTTGGATATAATCTTTCGGCTCATTGGACAATATTGTTCAGCCAATAAACAGAACTTATATTTCGAAGCAGCGTGATGATGCTGAGGGAATTCAAATGTGCTAAAAACATAAAAACAGAACATTTGTTTCAAAAAAGTGGTTGGCTTATGCCTACCCATGCCTACCCAGGCTTAATTCTTCCCAGACCTATATGTGTTTTGCGGGTAACAGCTTGCCCCGTCTGATTTAGACAGGGAGGGGGGTAGGGTTTTTGAGGAAATCCATGTTGTAACAGGGGTAAAAAAAATAAAAATACAACATTTACCACAGGGCACTGAGGCCGCTCTCATTGGCCCTACATCAGAGCTCACAACGAGTGTGAGAATGCATGTTACACTCATGTTTCTGTAGTCCTTCAGTCATACATGCTCTTTGTAGATACAGTATGTAAAGGGATTTAAACTGGACTTTTTAATTGGATTTGCTCAAAGTTCCATATTATATTAGAAAAATAAAGTGTGTTGGATTGGATTATGTCATTCATTTCAAAACATGTATTATTTGCTGTGATCATAAGGCAATTAATGTTCCCTTATTAATAATTACATTGTGATTACATTTCTGCTTGTGATAAAAAACATGACTTCAGAGAGGCACTACATTATTTCAGCGGTGGACAGGAAGAGATTCTGAGGTTGATGAATACTCTGGAGTATAGTATTTGCTAACCTGGATATGTGTGCAACTATGTCTGCGTTTGCACATCAGTGTAATACAGAAAATGAATATATATATAATAATAATAATGATACTGCAGAGAGCTGCCCAGTGTGTGGAGGTGGGGGCTGCCACTCTGAGGCCCCACTGAGGCCCTCCTACAGAAGAGACATTTGTCTGCACTGGAATCAAACAGAGCTCATATTATTTGAAAGTGATCAAATGCATGATAAAAACTGGATAATAATAAATAATAATAAATAATAATAATAATAAATAAATAAAAAATAAATTTGGGAGAAGTGGCTCAACATGTACCCAGATTATGTGGACATTGTACATTAGATACATGAGTTTGATGTTTTAGTGGGTTAAAGTAATCTCATTTATGGGTCAACAAACTGAAAGAGAACTTCCTCCAGGAATCACTTTTTATGTTATTTTTCACTGAAATAATAGCATGTACAAAACAAAATAAATATAACCAAGACAAGGAATTCTCTGTTTAAAATTAAATGACATTAAAAAAATCCCATTTTGAAGATAACTCACAGTGATGAACAATGAATGCGTATGATAAATGTAAAAAGATTTCCAAGCAGTGTGCCTTGAGATACGGCCTGCTGTGCCTTAAATAGCCATATTGAGTCTGCCGATTCCAAGAGATTTTACTTGAATGCTGACAAATCAGATCAAAGACCGAAACAGTGGTGAAGAAGTGGAATGAAAAATATTGTAGACATAAAATAAAATAAAATCTGGAAAATAAGTTCTTAATGTAAGTTCATATTTAGAAAATTACAATGATAAAGTATAAAAAAAAAAGTAAAAATCTACTCTCTTTTTCGATCATTCAGAGAAATGTTCCCGTGAAATAGCTTTGGTAATTTCTCAGGTGAAATTACGTTCAAGTACCTGCTTGCAGACAGTAATTTTCCTATTTTTCAAATGAAAAATAAATAAAAACCAACTCCTCTAGTGGTAGCATAGGGACTTTTGTACCCTTTGTATCTTAATTTAAAGAAGCTATACCCGATTTATTTTCTAATGAGTTCACAAAAATGCGTATCACTACATACAAGTTGTATTAAAATCCGTAATTTAATTGAAACTTGAGCTAATGATTCAGCTTTTGTATGAATTCAGGCCGAAAATAGTGCTGTGTAGAAACTCCTCCAATCACAGAACGAGGAGCAGCGCTGTTACGAACAGTCTGCGTCCTCTTACCTCTACAGCACCGGTAAAAACAGTAGCATGTTAGCAGAATTAGCTATAACTCCTCTTGCTGTAACTACATACAGTAGGTCCCATTCCGTTTTGTCGCCTTTCACACGTGAGTCTCGTGTGATTCACGCGTCTTTTATTTTCCCCCCTCCCAGTGACGTTGCAATGACCAAAACAACCACCAGGTGGCACTTGTGAGCAGGGTTACATTGGCGAGTTTCTGCCCCGCGCACATCGACAATCCGGTTAAAACGGGCAACTCCTTGTAGCAGGCCAGTCTCTGGAATAACCCGCAGACATTAAAACTACTGCATATAACGTAAACTTTTGCATCACGTTGGTGATCTTTCCAAAAAGAGAGAATATCGTTATGGAAAGAGAAACTATTGGTAATATAACGCTGAACGTTATCTGACTCAAACAGCTCCGCTGGTGTCTCCTCCCACTCAGAAAAAAAGCAGACGCCTTTTCTCTGGCATCTCTAACATTTATAATAAATACATAAATATAACAATCATAATGAAGATGCTTTCAAATAATTTAGCAAGCTGTAATTCATTTATTTTAACTCCCTGCCAAACTTCTCTCGCTGCTCTCTCCTCCGCAGACCACTAAATGAGGAAAAGGGAATATTCACTCAATCTATTTTGAATGTTACACATACAATATTAATCTAAGCACGTGTACCACCTGTAGCGCGTGTATTTACCACAGACTGTAAGTATTAAAGTAATGAGGCCCCTGCTTTAGGCCTCTGCTGTGAGGCCCACACACTGTAAATCCTTATATCCGCCTCACCTAAAATTATTGATCATACTTTACTTGATTTTTCTCCAAGTTTACTGTTCACCCACACACTATTAGTAACCTTTACAATTCATGTCAAAATCTAACTTTTAAATGACATAGTTGAATTTCATTTCATAAGTGTTGGTGTGTATCATCTATGGTATTTCTGCATCAGACAATACTTGAAAGGTGTCTGTGAAGTCAGTACTTTACTTAAGTTAATAAACAAATTGATGCGGGAATTACTTGAGTAAGCTTTTACGATATGCGCAGTTCAGTTTTTCACCTCATGGCGACGGTCACTTCCTGCCTCAGCGCCATCCTGTGCTTTTACACCGCGAGCACGGGACCTGTGCCTTCTCAGCGCTGTGTATACAGTTATACAGGGAGAGCAGAAAGCAAACTCTACATTGTAATAAGTGAATCAGACCAAACCTTGATGTAAAATATTTAAGTAAATACTATATACTTCATTTTCCACTGTTTTATATTTTTGGTTGACAAATAAGTACTGTATAATATTATCATAGCACCCTGTACAATACTGTTTTTTTTGCATTAAGTGAAAATACTTCTGCTGTAAGCCTGTTGGTCCATTAATGACAAAACAAATATCATGTGTTGATTGAAAACAAAATGTGGTGAAGCAGTGATGCTACCCAGAATGCCTTGCAGAGCAAAATATAAACTTCTTAAAACAGGAGCCCTCTGGAACAGTCTGAGGAGGAGCTCAGGGCCGCAGAGAACGTTCATATATTTAAGAGTAGGCTCAAGACGCACATTTTTAGAGTATCTTTTGATTAGTATTTATTATTTATTATTGCTTTTTAGTACATCTATTTATGTTTTTAGACACATTATATTTTTTTTTTATTTTTATCATTTACTATTTTTAATTATTTATTGTATCTACCCATTTACTATTGTTATTATCAATATTAGGCAGCTGCCATTTTTCTTTTTATTGTCACATTTTATTGTTCTACTTTCTATTGTATTATTGTATTGTTTTAGTGTCCCCAGTGTTTCCTCTGGAGGAGCCCTCTGCACTGAGAGCTGGGGTCTGCTGTGGCTTCGGGGGTCTGGCTCTTGGATCCGGTGGGGGTCTGGGGCCTCCTCTCTCCTCTGGGTCCTATGGGGTCTGAGTCCTGGCCCTGGTGGGGTCTGGGGCCCCTCTCTCCTCTGGGTCCTGTGTCGTTCCCTGTGGCTGCAGCCGGCTCTCTGCTCCTGGTGCAGATGGCTCCTTGGATGGCGCTTCTTCAGCCGGTTACAAAATTCTGTCAAAAGTAGCTTGCTATATAGAAGCTATTTTCAATTAAACAAACTGCAGTTCATGCAATTTTATATTTTCCTGCATTAACATGTTTGCTCATTTCTTATTTTTTGCACAATTCTTGAGTGTTTTATCCATGCCAAATGTGACATGTACATTTCTCCTGTGTAAGATTAATAAAGCTTATCTTCTTATTTGAGATAAACTGTCAGTCAGATAAAGGTTAAAATGTTGTAGATATTTATTGAACAATAGCCCAAAACACCAAAAACAACAAAGAGTAGGCATCTGAAAACATATTTCTTTTCGCTCATCTCGACTAGAGTGACGTACTTTTGGAGGTATGGCCACGGTGCGCGCGCATGTGTGTGCGTGTGTGTGTGCGCGTACGTTCGTTTGTGTGTGTTGTTACCAAGCCCTGCGCATGCGCATCAGCATTCTGTCTTTCTATATGTTTGTTTTATGCTGCGGGAAAATGCTGTAATATATGAACATCAGAGATGTCCGTGAGAAAATAGCTTTGGCGGACGCTACCGCGCTACTTGAGCAATAATATAGCTTAGCTACAGAAAAGTTACTAGGTTTTGTAAATAGCGACGCTACTGCCCATCACTGGTGTTTCGCTGCATTCATATGCAAAGTAGGGACATTAGCATGAAAAAGAGCGTGATTTCCTGCCGTTTAGGGTGACGAAAATCTAACTTTTCATGCAGTGCCATATACTGTAGTCGCTGCAGGAGCAATTGTCCATTATTTTAATTGGACTTCTGGTCCATGCACACTGTAAAAAAGAAAAAGTTAGTTCAACTCAAAATTTCAAAGCAACCAGCTGCAAAGGATTTTTGAGTTGAAGGCATTAACTTAATTCTTCAAGTTTTGAAGAACTACACTTATTAAGTTGTGTCAGTTAAGTTTTCCAAGTTCTGCCAACTAAGTGTTTAAATTCAAGTTACTGGAAATTTCAAGTCTGTAAAAACTTTTTAAAGTTCAGATTACTGTCCCCTACAATAACTTACTATTTTGAGTTTAAATTAGCCCCCACATTAAAAGATCATGATGTTTATTTATATAGCGCATTTCATGGACCAAGGTCACTTGGGTAGGGGAAACCGGAGCACCCGGAGGAAACCTATGCAGACACAGAGAACATGCCAATTCCACACAGAAAGACCCTGTCCCGACCGGGATTCGAACCCAGGACCTTCGTGTCAATAAGCGAGAGTGCTATCCACTCAGCCACCGTGCCGCACACACTGAGAACCAGAGGGGAAACTTAATGTTTCTAAGACTGACCCAGAGAATATACAGGGCTACTTTGGCTTGGCCCTGTCGATTACGGTTGGTAAAAATAAATATTGTCATTTGCTTCTGTCCTGTTAGTCAAAATAAAACTTATCACGACTGAATAGTTTCTCCCTGTAAAACTAAAGCTCATTTCATGGCTTTGGTCATCACATACAAAACTGTTGAACTCGTTCAAAACCAAAATCTGTCAATCTGATTTCATACAATACTTTATCTTTTTACATCCTGAACATTTTTCCTAACACGACAAGGTGTGTTTTTTTATTGTTTACATTTGTCACAGTTCTACCATAATGATTGTGAGATTTCATAACACTTTTAAGCAACTTTTGTTAAAGTTAAACTCATCATTCTATCAATGTGCAGAAGCCAGTACTTTTCCCTTGTTTTGTCTATCTGAAGGCCAAGCTACATGGCACTGTGGAAGCTGCTGATTGGAGGTCTCCATGCCTCCGCTCTGTATAATACACTTGCATTCTGTTGTATCTGTTGTTCGTGCTGTCTCTACCATCGACAATAAAACATGTCTTCTGTCAGAATTAAAGACGCGATCCCAGACTTTGTCATCTTCTTCAGGTGGTGGAGAATGCGGGCATTGTCTGTAACATCTAGAGCAGGGGTTCCCAAAGTTTTTAGCCTGCGACCCCCATCATAAATGCCCTGGTAACCCGCAACCCCCCCCCCCCGCCACCCCCCCACCCCCAACAGCCCTTCCGTCACATGAAATGAGCATGTATTTCCTTGATACGGAGTAACGCTTTCTAGAGACTCACGCCACTACCGAGCTTCACTGTCCAGCCCAAAAAAGGAGGCTTGCATATTTTTACTCATGTAGTGAGTGACACAGTGATGGGCTTGGTGGGCTCCCTCCTCAGCAGAAGTGGAGCGCATTTCTTGCGGCTCGCCCTCACTGTTCTCCTACTGCGGTAAAGTGGGCCGGCTTTCCGGAGTCAGCGGTAAAGAGGTCCGCACATTAAAAGCGGGCGGCCGCTTTCTGCTGTTACTTTATGCGGTTCATCCCCGCGGCTTCTCTTTCCAAAGTTACTGTCAGTAAAGGCATAAACCGGCCACCCGCTTTTAATGTGCGGACCTCTTTACCTTTGACTCCGAAAAGCCGGGCCTCTTTAACGCGCTGTTCTACCGCTGTCCTCCCTCCCTCCGCTGCCCTCTCTCCCTCCTTTGCCCTCTCTCCCTCTCTTCGCACCATCAGCCTGACCCCTGATACAAGTGACTTTTCTCCCCCTCCGGGTTTTTCTGTTGTGGATATTAACCACGTTTCATTTTAAAGCAAGTATTATTTATTTGTAGCCTCCAAACACCTTTAGTTTTAGCAAACAACAGCAGGACACGCTTTGTCGCTGCGCATGATGTGAGCTGTGTTACGTGATGATTTTGATTGACGCTGCAATGACTGGGACAAAATTACTAACGTTATTAAAATATATTATAGTCTCCAAACACTGTTTTAACAAGTAGTCCTTTTGAATCAAATCAAATGCTAAATAAATATTTAAGGGCTTTATATTTGCTCAAAAAAAAAAATTTTTTTTTTTTTTGTTTGTGTGGAAATCCTCTTGCGACCCCCCCAGGGGTTCCCGCGACCCCCCGGGGGGTCGGGACCCCCACTTTGGGAACCACTGCACTATGTCACCTTTGAGACAGTCACGGCTCCTACAGGTGCTCACTCAGCCCCACATAACTTTTACACCTCTTGGCATTAACATGGCTGACCACATGCCAAGACAGGGTGAGCCTCATGACTGCAGTGTAAGGGTAATAGACAGTCTGAAAGTGCGACCTGACCTCCAGACTGACCCACTTCAGGACCCCGACTTACAGCTTTTCACAGATGGGTGTTGCAGGAATGGCAGCTTGAGAGCGGCATATGCAGTTGTCAGTGTTAACGGTGAAAATTTTGTTACAGTAAACAGCGGTGTTTTAACTGACAAACCATCAGCGCAGGCGGCAGAACTAGAGGCTCTCTGCGCCGCCTTGGAGTTTGCTAAAGGTAAATCTGTAAATATTTACTCCGACTCTGCGTATGCTACTCAGGCTGTCCATTTCAACCTCTCCGAGTGGAAAAGAAACGGCTTCTTGACTGCTAAAGGCCGACCCATCACACATAGAGCCCTGGTGGAGAGGCTGGACAGCGCTCTCCAGCTTCCAAAACAGGTAAGCGTCATCAAGTGCCAAGGGCACTCCAAGTCAGACAACTTTGAGGCCAGGGGAAACGAGGCAGCGGATGAGGCCACAAAGAAAGCTGCCAACTACAAGGTCAGTACTCCAGGAGTGTTTGTGGTTCGGGACGAGGGGCCAGACCTGGCAGACTGCCTGCCCGATCTGTCCCTTCAGGTTTTAGCTGAAGCCCAAACAAAAGCAGCTCCTGAAGAAATATCCATGTGGGTTCAAAAACGGGCAAAGAAGGATCCAGATACTGGCATCTGGTACGGCCCTGATGGCCGCCCCGCCCTGCCCATGGGGGACCTCTCACGAGCGGCTTTATCTGAGGCACATGGGCTAGCCCATGTGGGTCAGGTACAGATGCTCAGGAATATGTCACAATGGTGGCATCCCTTTAAGACAAGCATGATCCAAGATTATACTAGGTCCTGTCAAATATGTCAGAATTATAACCCATCGCCCTGCTCAGCTGTTTCCCCAGGAAAATTCACACCTGCTGCTTGGCCTGGAGCACATGTTGTGATGGACTTCACAGATATGATTAACAGGTGCGCAGGAAAGCGGTACTTGTTGGTCATCACTGACACCTTTACGGGATGGCCTGAGGCATATCCTGCTGCAAAGGAGGATGCTGCCTCCGTAATCAAAGCCTTAATTCAGCATTACATCCCAACGCATGGCTTTCCCCAGTTAATAAGGACTGACAATGGGACGCATTTCAGGAACAAACACTTGCAATTGGTAGAAAAACATCTGGGGCTAAAACATAAATTTGGAACGGTCTACCATCCTCAATCCCAGGGCCGAGTTGAAAGGATGAATCAGACCTTGAAAAGTAAACTCTCTAAAATCCTGGCAACGAGTAAATTGAATTGGCTACAGGCATTGCCTATTGCCCTGTTGTCAGCAAGGCACTCTGTTAACCGCATTCACCATTTCTCCCCATACGAGCTATTAACAGGGAGGCCTATGCCAGGACCAGGAAACAGGGTGGTGCCTTTCACAAAAGAGGACTCCCCAACACCCCCAGTGCGGGTGTACTGGGAACAATTGAGAGAAATGTTGTCTAGTTTTTCCCATCAGGTTGAAGGAAGTCTCGACCTCTGCGAGAAGGAGGCCTCGGAGGATCCACCAGCCTGGGTCCGTGTGAAGGTGTTCAAAAGGAAGTGGAACGAGCCCCGCTGGACCGGACCCTTTGAAGTGGTGGCCCGCACTCGCAAAGCTGTTCAACTGAAGGGACACGGGAACAAGTGGTTTCATCTCTCTCATACGAGACCATCTGACCCACCCTCGTAACCACGCTCACGGGGTGGACAGGGACTCACACACACGCTTACACTCCCTCTTAATATGTTGCCTTGGGACAGGGAGCCCTGGCCCACGACCAAGAGAGGGAGAGCCATCCTATGGGCTATCGCTGCAGTTGGTTTGGTCGTGGTCCTGGGAATTTTAACATGGGAAATGTTAGAAAACACACAGCTAAGAGACAGGGCCAGACTTGTAACACAATCCAGTCTTTGGTCCAATAAGACTGACAGAAATAAAAGATCCATAGGAGAAGGCAGCGTTAGAGACTCTCTACCTACGATTGTGACAGTAAAATGCCCGGTGGGTGCGACAATTACAGCCCACATACCAATGGCAACAATCTTTCCATTATCCTTTTGACCTGACTACACACTCTACCTGTGTTACACACCGTCTACATGTAAATATGAGAGACATGGAAAAAGCTTTAGAGCATCGGTGGACTGCATCTGTGATGCTTGGGAGTATGTTATATCCAATACAGGTCCTGATTGGGGTTATAATAATGAACACAGATTGAAGGGACGAGTGATTCTGACTACAGACCACTCACAAACAACGGTGCTAGTCACTGTGAAAAATTGTGGGATTGATGTGAATGGGACTTACGTTATTGGACATTATCCAGGAGACATTAGACAATGGATTTCAATTGCCCTACCCGAGGACAAGGAGCTAGACAAGGAGGCCATAGATAGTGAAGTATGGCAAGACAAACAAAACGTACAGGTGACTGCTGACTGGACTGTTTCTGAATTGTTAAAACAAGCAACTGGATATGGGGATAGAAACGCTTGGTTGTGGACAGTGGAGCACATGTCAGCGGCTGCTGGCTTTGACGATTGTGTTGTGTGCTCCACTGCACGTCCCACTTTATATACAGCCCCTGCTCCACTTTTCCCAGAAGATGTAGATGGTTATAATTGTATGATAAAGTTGTTTTGGCAAGAAAAAGACCTGACTGAGGAGACAAAGACAGCGCCTAGTAATTGTTCAATGTTTGAAGTATTGTTCCCAGAATTGGATTCAGAAATTCAGCCTCCTATGTTTTCCCACAGGAAAAGCAATTACACCTGTTTCCACTCACTCAATGGAGGGACGAGGCCGCGTCTCCAGTGGGGGTTCCTTCCAGCAGACTGGTGTGTCAACAACGTCACCCTGCCCAGTCCGGTCCCCATGACCCGGACCAGAGGTGATTTGTATTGGTTGTGTGGAGATTTAAAACTTAGACATAGACTAATAAAAAAATTTACAGGCAGTTGTGCAATGGTGCGATTAATGATGCCCATTTCCATAATTGGCCATAAGCCATCCCTAGACAGTCCCCACCCACTGCATAGATTTAAAAGAGCAATACCATTCCTAGATACTGGGAAAGATAATCCAACTTACATGGACTCTATAGGTGTTCCACGTGGAGTCCCTCATGAATTCAAACTGGTAGATCAAATTGCAACAGGTTTCGAAAATCTTCCAATAATTTCCGCTATTTTCCCTATTACGCCAAACAAAAATGTAGATAGAATTAATTTCATTTGGTATACTATGCTCCGGCTTGCCAATCACACAAGTGACGCAATAGAGGGATTGGCGGAGCAGCTTGGGGCCACCTCTCTGGTAGCATTTCAAAACAGAGTGGCTCTAGACATGCTATTAGCAGAGAAAGGGGGGGTCTGCAGTCTATTTGCATTCTACAGAATGTTGTGTATACATTCCAAATAACACACATCCAGATGGATCAGTTTCCAGGGCTCTGGCTGGTCTCAAAATGCTGTCAGAGCAAATGCATGACGTTTCTGGAGTCCCGGAGAACCCACTGGAGGCGTGGCTGGACAGCATCTTGGGGAAGTGGAAGCATGTAATTTTGTCTGTTATCACAAGCCTTGCGGCCATCTTTGCAATAATAATGGTTGTAGGATGCTGCTGTATACCTTGTATACGTTCTCTTTGTGTTAAAGCTATAGACACCGCTGTTAACCCTGGACTGAGAGGTCAAATGCTTGCATTGGTTGAGGATTCCCCCGTCCCGTCGCCTGAGGAAGGTTATTGAAAGGTGTGGCCTTTTTAAGAGCGGCCAAGAGAGGGGTTCTGTTGTATTAAATATAGACTAAAAGGCGATGTGAATTAGATTGACCTGAAATTGAACTTTGTCTGTTTCCAAGCAAAAAGAAAGACCTTGTATTGCCCCACTCCCCTGGTCCCATTTTGTCCAAAGTGCATGGGTGAGTTAATGATAGTTAATCTGGGGGGATTCTGCTAATCCTTTCAAGTTGTGAAAGAAGGAGATGGAGCCCAGAATCTGGAGGAGAAGCCTTGAGAGCCCTCTGCCTTATCTCAAAGGAACTAATAAATCTATAGGTTGGGGAGGGGGAGTGTGTGAATGATTCTGTTTAGGTCTGGAGAGACGAGGAGACCTGATGGAGGCCGGACCCGGGACCGAGAGCTGACTGATACGACACGCCCCCTTCTTCTTGCACATTACTTAATGAATAGCTTGAATGTGTTTTAGTTAGTTTTTTTTGCGGACCAGGGGCAGTGTATGGCTTGATGTGGAGCGCCCACTCAAAGTCATACTTTTATATTTTATATAGAGAATAAGGGATAGTTACTTTTGGTCCGAACAGCTGTTTTAGATTCTTTTTGTATTAGGGAAATAAACCTTTTTGAATTTAACTTTCTGAATCATGGTCATCTTTATAAGGGATTTTGAAAACGTCATTTTTTAATACAATAGTATGGTACGGTACTTCTGCATCGGCGAACACGCTAACGCTAGCTGCGCTAGTATAGTCACTAATCAAGCCTGAATGAGAACTCAGCTGCCGGCATATGTTCAGATCTACTGTGTCCCCCATTGTCAATCCTGGTTAAGTCCTGGTTTATGTCCTGTTTTGGCTGTATTTTGTATTTTTGAGTAATTTCCGTCTGCTTGCTAGACCGCTAATGTTCCCGTGACCACGTTGCGGCTCTCTGACCCGAGAGAGACGGGGGAAACAAACAAGCATGCAAATGGGATTTATCGCGGCCAGAAAAGTTATTGAGCAAATTTTATTTATCGTGCGATTAATTGATTTATTGACTATCGCGACAGGCCTATATGATAATACACATAACCTTTCTTAACATATATTTACTTTATATTTTTGGTGATTTCATGTACTAACACTTTGATACTATGTTGTTAGTGTGATTTGAGGGTTTTGTACTCTATAGGTTTATTCTTGTTTGGAGAAGGAGAATTGATGTCAGACTAGTGACAGCAGCCTTGAGAGTTCTTCCTTATCTCAAGGAAGTAATACATCTATAGGTTGGAAGTGTGAATCCCTTTTTTTAGGTCTGGAATGGAGAGATACGGAGGGGAAACAGACAAAGGCCGGACCCGGGACCGAGAACTGGCTGATGCACACGCCCCTTCTACACACTATTACTTATATGCTTTTGCTTGATGTTTTAACTCAGTCCGAGCAGGGATAGCTAGAGAGGGAGCATGCCTGCATGTTCCCTGCACATTTTCAGCACAGGGATACTGGCTCGGCTCACAGGGATAGACAGGGAATTAAGAGCTCCAAGAGTTTTATATCAACATTTAATTGTAAAGAGAAATAAATGTTCTATTTTAACTCTTGTATTCTTGATCTTATTTCTGTATCAAACTTTGAACACGTCAGTCAAATCTTTTTTGACAACACCTTAAATGTTGATATATAGTACGTCATTTTATGAATTCTAATATTACGGGTAAGTCCAGCCTTCCCTTCTCTTAGACAGCCCTTAATATTCGGCGCTGTAATGGCATTATCTTTTGTAAATGATATAAATAAAATGGTTAGTTTCCAAAGGTTTCACTAGCTAATGTTGTATTAGATATACACTGAACATATTTGACCATTTGAACTCTGTCTCTTTCTAAGCCAAAAAAGACCTTGTCTTCCTCTTCGTATCTTGTAGTCCAAAGTGCAGGAGATGGTTAATGATAGTTAACCATCTGGGGGGCCAAGAAGAACTGCATTCCTAGATTCTGTTAATCCACTCAGTTGATATGATAATACACATAACCTTTCTTAACATATATTTACTTTATATTCTAGGTGATTTCATGTGCTATTGATACAGTGTTATTAGTGTGATGTAAGGGTTTTTTTGTACTGCACATAGGTTTGTTCTTTAGGAAGATGGGATGTTAAGGGTCTGGAATGGAGAGATAACGGAGGGGGATGCCAGAGTCCGGAGTCCATGGGCTGGCTGATGGACGCGTATCCCAAAACCAGTCTGGGACTGTGTGACGTCATCGGACATTCTTTACTTATGGCTTTGCCTGGTGTTTGAGTTTCAGTCGGACAACAGGGCAAGCGATAGGGAGAGAGCAGGCATAGTTTAGGATAGGAGCTTGTTGAATTTTTGTATCTGATTGTAAAGATAAATTAAATACAGATGTTAAACTTGGAAATCTTCGTCTTGTTTTCTGCATCAAACTTTGAACACGTCAGTCAAAGGATTTTTTGACAACACTAACAAACTAGAACTCTCTGGAACAACATGAAAAGTGAACAAAGAATTGTGAACATCAGTGGTGAGTGACCCAAAAAAAAAGGTAATTCCATAATCAGATCCTCTGCAAATGTGTCCTAAAGTGTTCTACTAATGTTATTAGTGACTTTTGGGTTTATCACGATCACTTTTTGACTCAATAAAACAGTATTTTTGTTATGAAAATGTGAACAGATCATTCTGAAAACTTCCGTGCACGTGTCTTAAGAATGTATATGTATAATGTATTCTCCGTTGTTGAGTGTGGCTAGCTTCGATAGCTTCTCTCACACAAATAGAAGTAATAAGTGACAGGCGCTGAAAGCCCGTTGTGACTAAGAATACAAATTACTATATCCGGAGTAATCTTAGTATTTTACACATCTGAAGTACAAGAGTGTGTTGTCAAAGTGCAGTGGACATTATTGGTTGGAGAGTCTTATCAAGAAATAATGATCGGTTTGAAATACATTCAAATCAATGGAGCATTCTACTGCTGCTGTGAGTAGCTATATAATAAATTATGATTAAATATTTGAATATTTAAGTCAATAATCTCTCCTTTGCACGTCTTGGCCCATTGACCAGGTGCGTGCACGGAAAAGTAGGTGCGGCTTCAAGACCAATCAGAAAGGAAGGGGGAGGGAGCTTGCGTCGTTTTTTTCAAATCATGTACCTCTCTCTCTTTTTTCAGACAAACTCCAGACAATCACTTTAAGGCAGCTGTGGCTAGAGTAGTAGTTTATCACCACCGTGTTTGGAGTGAAAGAATAATGACATCTGAAGTGAGTGTCCAAAGAAGCACTGTATAAAACCGATGCATTATTATTTCATGTTGCGTTTGTAATTCTGAGAATAATTCTGAAGAGACTGTTACTGTGTGTGTCTGTGACCCCTGACCCCTGGGGAGGGGGGGGGGGCAAAGAGGGAGGAGTAGAGGGGGAGGAGCAGAGGGGGAGGAGAAGAGCGGGATGTCTCAAAGAGGCCCAGTCCCAATACTCGCACTTCCACCCTCGCGCCCCTCATTTGCGCGTTCCCGATGATGGGTGCGAGTGCGTAGCGTGTCCCAATTCTCCAGGGAGGTCTTTGGCCTCGCCCCCTTTGCACCCCTGATCCACACTTCGCCGTAGCCTGCATCTAAGCGGACTCTGGCGAAGGATATTGCCCATAATTCTTTGCGGTACACACCAAAACGTAGGGAAAATGCATTTAAATGTAAGTTTTGAAATATATATGCTGTATGTGTGTAAATAAATGTTGCTATGTTACTTGGATAGAAGCATAAATGACTAATTGAAGAATTACGGACATTCTGTGCTAACAATTTAATACTTTTTTCAATGCAAGCTTTCATATAACATTCAATTTAAACTTTACACTTAGTACAATAAACTTAGGATGTATAAAAACGTATCAGATAACAGTTAGTTACCCACATTTAACTTAAAAATATACAGCTATCTCAAATTACAAATAACCATTATACATGTATTTTAACGTGTGTGGAGCAACTCATTTTGTTTCCCACAGGGTCAGACCAAATTACCTTTAATTTTTATAAAGTTTAGGTCTGAAAATGACCATCTCTTGACGAGTCAATGACGTAACCTGCCTTCAGTGTGCACTGTCCCAATTCCGCCTTTTTTGCACGCTTGTAACCTGCGCACTCAAACCCTTGCATGCACTTCAAACAAATGCACACTTCGTAGAGGTGTGTAGGGTGCAGTGTGGGTATTGGGATTGAGCCTGAGTCAGTGTCATACACTTGCATGCGCTTGAGGGAGTTAGTGCAACAGTTAGATATGACTGCAGAATTGACCAATCAGATCGCAGGTAGAGCAGCTGCTTCTCGCTGCATACGAAACAAAGTAGAGCAGAATAAAGTGTGTTCTCAGCGTCTGTCCTCAGCTGGGGCCCTCACGGCTCGGCTTGGGCCCTCACGGGTCAGAACTTGCTGCAGTGGTGCTGGGCCACCCTCTTGAGGCGCTCCTTCTGGTCATGCCTCAGTCGTGCCCTCCCACTGACCTCCACCCACTGCAGACGGAGCAGAGACTGATGCAGCCGGGTCACCTGGAACAAGGTCATGTGACGGGACAAGGTCATGTGACGTGACACAGTGAAGTGGGTGGAGCCTAGTCGGACCCCACATCAGCTGAGGATAGAAACTCACCGCAGCGCTGATGTCGACCAGCAGGGGGCAGTCTATGTGCAGATGTATGTTCAGCACTGAGGTCTCCAGCCAGGCCTGGTCCGTGTTCTGGGGGTCGTCCACGTACCCCTCATACACTTGCAGCACCTGCAGCACAGGGTCATCAGAGGCAAAACTACAGAGCAGGGAACAGGAGCCCCCCTGAGTCTGAGGTCAGGGGTCCCTGTGTCTGCGGTCAGGGGACCCTGTGTCTCCCTCGTACCTCTCTCTTCTCAGACAATAGCTCGCTGATCTTCTCACATACTTTCGGTCCCAGAGTTTTGGTCAAACTCAGAGGGAGACGTCCGTCAGCGTCCACATGCCCCTGTGGACAGGAGTCATCACAGTGTGTTTGTTATTACTGCATTTCCTGTATTTGAACAGTTTTATCTCATCTGTTGTCGGCAAATCCACAAAAAACATTGATTTTAATTGAATTAGTTAGCAGCAGGAGCTACAGTCTTTAGTTGTATTTGACTCATACAATATTTATCAGAGGATTCATCACTGTTTCTATCAACAGAGAAAATAAAGTTCAGAGAGAAGTGAGAAGACAGTGAGAATGGAGCTGCAGGAGCGCACGGAGGAAATCCTCCTCCAGAGGAACACTTTTGTCACACTCACCCCTGGGAACGTGAGGCACTTCTGATTCCGGTCTTGTTGCACCAGGAACTCCAGTTCTGAGCAGGCGCTGTCTCTCCATCTGTGGACACACACACACACACACACACACACATACATAGACACACAAGCACATGCACACAGACACAGACACACAAGCACACGCACACAGACACACAAATGAAAAAGTTCTTTCCTCATTCCTCTCCTCATTCCTCCCCCTCCCTCCTCCTCCCCCCTCTGTGATCTCACCGTGTGATGATGAGGTCCATGCTGCGGTTGGGTCCCAGGTGCGGCAGCTTTCCCCGTCCCCTGAGCCCCGTCCTCCCTCCAGGGTTCCTGCTCAAACACAGTCAGACTCAAAGACCTCGACCAACGAGACTTTAGAGATGAGGGGACATTACCTGTGGACGTCAGCCTTCTCTTCTGGTCTGCAAGAAGGACACAAGTGTCATGTGACATCACTCTACACAAGTATCTTCCCCTCCCCTCAGCATTGACACACATGTAGAACGGAGCTTTGGGCCAAGAGCCAACTTTTGGACCATCCTGTAAAGGTGTTTTTGAGAGGTAAGAAGATACTATATGTTAGCATTGGCTAATTCTTATTCCGGGTCCACCCCCATCGGCCCGGGGTGGTATTGCAAGCATGTCAGCGCACGTCATTTTGGCCACTTTTGAGCTGTGACCCGCCCCCACTGGGTGGGACAGGAGTAGTGCAGGAGAGAGGACATACCCCTGTTTGCAGCCCCCTGTGGTGGGACAGGTGTAGGGCAGGAGAGAGGACATACCCCTGTGTTCTGCCCCCTGTGGTGGGACAGGTGTAGGGCAGGAGAGAGGACATACCCCTGTTTGCAGCCCCCTGTGGTGGGACAGGTGTAGTGCAGGAGAGGACATACCCCTGTGTGCTGCCCCCTGTAGTGGGACAGGAGTAGTGCGGCGGGTTGTAGAGGAGCTGAAGCTGACCTACGACACACAACAAGTGTCCAATAAGAACTTTCAGCCGTTTACAATGTTTCACATCTGTCTGAATCTGTGAGCCTCAGACTGCAGCTCTGGCTTCTCCTCCTCAGGTTCAGAGTGGTCCTTACCTCCCAGGGAACTCCTCCTCAGGTACACAGTTGTCCTTACCTCCCAGGGAACTCCTCCTCAGGTACAGTTGTCCTTACCTCCCAGGCGCCTCCTCCTCAGGTACACAGTGGTCCTTACCTCCCAGGCGCCTCCTCCTCAGGTACAGAGTGGTCCTTACCTCCCAGGGGACCTTCTCCTCTGGGACAGGGAAGCGTGTGACCCGGCTCCCCGGGTACTGGAGCTCCCGCGCCATCACGTGGAACACCTCCTCTCTGTCTGCAGTGTTGGAGACACCGTCCACTGAGTCCTCAGGCATGAGATCTGTGGAAAGGACATGACCAGGGTCAGGGGTCAGGGTCAGAATTAACCAGAATCAGGGTCAGGGGTCAAGGTCAGATTTAACCAGAATCAGGGTCAGAGTTAAAAAGGGTCAGGGTTTACTCAGTGACGGAGCGTCTGAGGGTCTGAACCCAGATGGTCTCAGATTGTCCATGATCCACTGGAGAGCTCGGGCGGACTGCAGGACCTGCAGAGAGGAGAGAGATAAATAGAGATAGATTGATTTATGAGAGAAGAGAGCGGAGAGAGGGGGAGAGACAGAGAGAGAGGAGAGAGAGGGGAGAGAGAGAGAGCGAGAGGAGAGAGAGAGAGAGGAGGGAGACAGAGAGATAAGAGGAAGAGGAGAGAGAGGAGAGAGAAAAGAGAGAGGAGGGAGAGGAGAGAGAAAGGACAGAGAGAAAGAGAGGAGAGAGAGAGGAGAGGTTGTGGTCGGTACCTGCTCCTCCAGTCGGACCAGGCGTCTGACCACAGGTCTGGAGCTGCCGTCTTCCTCTTGGTCCTGTCTCTCACACAGACTGGACACTCTACAGGACAGAGGGACACCACATATTCACATATAAAAGTGTTTCTCAACCCGACTCTAGCATGTTATACATCATTGTAAAACTATTTTCCTCAAGCATATCCTTTATGGTATTCTACACTGAACCCAGAACTATTATTATTACTAATAATCAATCACAATTATTATTTTTGGTGCAATTTTGATTCAGTGCATTGGGATACACGTCCTTTTGAAGAATAAGTAGCGCAGGTTTGTAATTTGAGTAATTTTATTTTAGATCGAGTTTTTGAGCAACACGGAAGATAATTTATTTTGGGACCAGATTGTGACCAATCACAGCGGACCACTGGCTCCCACTTTCTTGAAAAAATCTACAGGTCTCTCGTTAGCGCGCACAGACAGCTGAGTTAGACGAGCATCATGGCGGAGGCAAACCTCAAACTTCCCATGTCTTTGTTACCAGTCACTGCTTATACAGAAAAACAGCCATCCAAAAGAATGTCCCTGCAAGAACGGGGAGAGAGTTTTAAAGACCGGGAGAGAGGCACCCGGAAGCGGATGAGACTACTTTAGTCTCACAATATATTATACAATATATTCACATATAAACGCCATAAACCACCGATTTAAGCCCAAAATGTTGAGTGAGAAACAAACGACTACTGAGCTAGAGGAGTTTACTTTTACATGTGAATCAATATGGCTCAGTCAGTCTCTCTGGGGGCTCTAACCCAAGCTCTAGCCCTCCTGAGGCCCCTCACTTGAGAGCAGTGTCTGTGATCCTCTGCTCCGTGCTCTGCATCTGCTGCTGCTTCAGGGACATCAGGTACCGGTCCTTCATCAGGGCCTCCCACGACAGCAGCTCCTCCTCCTCCAACTGTGACAGCTCTTGTTCTGTGGAGACAGAGGATGAGGACAGGACTGGGTCAGGGTTAGGACTCTGCTCTAGACCCAGGACTCTGGTCTAGACCCTGGACTTTGCTCTAGACCAGACATGGGCAAACTTTTCCCCCTGAGGGCCACATTGGATCCTTTGTCTTTTGAGAATCAGTGAGGGTCAGGGTCAGGATCATAGACTGTATATATTAACGGACAGAGTCACGCCTATCTCCGCCGTTCATAGGAGTTGGCCATGAAAAGTGCTTTCATGGAGCAATCCAAGATGGCTGCGAGTGATCCCGCCCACAAGAAAATTGTGAAAAAACGCATCTGCGCATGCATCGGCTGGCACAGCTCCATTCATTTGAACGAGAGACTTCAAAAAGTCCCCGCGAGTAAACTAGAGTGGACCAAAAAAATCCACCCCCCTCAGTATTGACACACATGTGGAACGGAGCTTTGGGCCAAGAGCCAACTTTTGGTCCATCCTGTAAAGACGTTTTTGAGAGGTCTGCTAACGCTATATGTTAGCATTGGCTAATTCTTCTTCTGGGTCCACCCCCAACGGCCCGGGGTGGTATTGCAAGCATGTCAGTGCACGTCATTTTGGCCACTTTTGAGCTGGGACCTTCCCCCACTGGTCAGGATCCGGGTCCGGGGTCAGGGTCAGTTTTCGGGGTCAGGGTCCCATACAGACTCACTGAAGGCGGTGCTGGCCGGGGCAGGTCTCCTCAGTACGAGCCGCAGGAGGAGGTACAGGTGACTGAGGAGGATGAAGGGGGGAGGGGCGACCGGGCGGCTGTGGTACTCCTTTATCAACTCGTATCTCTGGAACTTCCAAATACGGTCAGTGTTGTCCTGCACTTCCTGGAAGGTGAAGCTGTAACACAGACCATAGAACGTGATCACATGGTCACGGGGTCACATGGTTATGGGTGTCACATGGTACTTACTTGAAGATGGCGATCAGCAGGTTGAGCAGCAGGATGTTGGCAAACAGCAGGTAAACACAGAGCATCAGGATCATCAGCCACTCGGGGAACGCCGGCAGGTCGTCCTCAGTCAGCACCGGACAGCGCGGTTTGAGAGGGTCACTGCCGTCTAGACTGCAGGAGGTGATGTCGAAGTCTGTGTCTGACTCATCAGGAGACATCAGAGAGATATCAGAGAGACCACCGTGACCAACCAGACTTTTCTGTCCTTTCAGTTGCCTCACCAATAGGCCTAACCCATAGAGGACTGCCCACCCCCCTCTTCCCCCTCCTCTCTCTCCCCTCTCTCACTGTCAATGTTGCTGGGCACGTCTCCAAAGATGGTGAGGTAGGGCTCGTAGACCGCCCCCCGGAGGATCCACCCAAGTCGGTCTTCGTTGTGGATCAGGATCCCCTGTTTGGCCACGCCATAGGCCACCACCCAGATGCTCAGCAAGAACATGAAGAAGAACATCTGCTTCATCTGCAGAAGAACAAGAAGAAGAAAAATAAGAAAGAGAATAAGTGAGAGTTTTAGGCCAGGGTGAGTGTAGCAAGCAGCACAGAGACATTTCATGTCCTAAAGTTTATGAGACAGACAATAACACATGACACGCCTCAGAGGAGCCACCAGGGGGCAGTGTGTCCTCACCATCCTCTTGACGATGATGATCTTTGGGCCCAGAGTTCTGCTGATGGTGAAGATCGCCATGAGACGCAGACAGAACACGATGAAGTCAATGCAGAGAAGGATTTTACCAGCATAAAACAGACCAGCGGTCAACCTGGGAGAAGAAGACATTTATCAACCTCTGTCGTGGATCTACAGCATGGATCTATAATAATACCTGGATAGGGTATTACTAGCTTATAGCTGTCCCACCCATGGGCACAGGGGGCGCCCGTGGTACTGCAGACTAAATTCACGTGGGCTACCCAGAAATAAAGTCCCATAGAACTCAGCTGATAGAGAACATACAGCCCTTTAGTGTTCCTTTTTTTCTTCTTAAATCCTGCGGTTTTCTTTAAATCCACACTTTACTGCCACAAACTCTGCTCCTTTCCTTCCCGCTCTGGCTCTGCTCTAGCTCTGCTCTGATCAGCTCTGATCGGTCAAAGCGCGACCAAAACCCTCTGTGCACGTGCATGAGAGGCCAGACACGCGTATTTGGCGCAAAGCATTATGGGAGCTCATCCACTGTGCAGAACCGGGAGGACCAGACGATGCCCAAATATGAGCGAGTTCCGCTCATCTTTCAGTCCCCGTGAAGTCCCATGCGCTACTGAGCACAAGTCATTAATTTGAATACGGCGCCATCTTGGATCACCGGGGCTTGATCTACAGCCTCAGTCCTGGGGGACTGACAGATTTGGCCCCGTCCCAAATCTGAGGGCCCTCCAGGTGTGAGTTCCCTTACCAGAAAAGTGCCTTCCCATAGAGGAGTGCCCTTTTCTCCCTAAGAATTTAGACATCCCTGAATCTAGGGGACAATATGCAAATGACGCAGCAAACGTGTTCCACGTCATACACATTATCGATGTGTCTGATTTCACCACAGTTAAGATCTGACACAGATATGACTTTATGAAACAAAGTATTTATTAAAATGAGACGTTTTTAATTCGATGTCATATGAAGATTTGCTATAATTAGTGTAAGGTTAAATAGAGGGCAGGGCCGGCCAGGCCTGGGACCCTGTAAACCATTGACCAAATGGAGAGATAACTCACCACGGCTTCAAAGGAGCCATGGGGGGTCAACCACAGGGTGTCATCAATTATGAGGATTACAGGCGCCAGACGGACCAATAAAACAGCAGGACACCCATCTGGGTGCCCCTTTTCGTCCAACAGAGGCCTGATACAAATCAACCATTGTCACCCACGGAACATTCCACAAACGCCGGGATTCACCCACGGCGCTCTGGCGCCCCCTAGTGGACACTGGACACTACCGCACCCGAGACGGACGCTCGAAAAGGACATTACTCGGTGATATTATGTTGATAACGTTACGGACCTTACTCGTATGTGTTGTTGTCTGTGATGTAAATGCACTGTGTGTTTGTACATGTGTTATGATCATCTACACCAGTGTCTCCCAAAGTGGGGTCCGCGGCCCCCTGGTGGGCCGCGAGGGTACTGCAGGGGGGCCGCGGGAGGTCATAAAAAAATAAAAAAATAATAATTATTTAATGTTATAATTATTTAATAATGTTTTGTTTGTAATATTAAAATATTTGTGTTCATTATTTGACTTGAATAATCCACTGTAATCATTTTTGTATTACAACGTTTGTAGCAGAGGCTATTTCCCCAAAATAAAATAACCAGAAGAGCCTATTCTTAATATTGTCTTCTTGGTTATTATTTTGGGGGGCCACTGTGGTGACAGTTTTTGGAGTAATTACATTAAAACCAGCCGCAGCAAATACACGGACGTCAAAGGCCTTTTATCAATGCAGACGACCTTCTGACGCCATGCTGAGCTTTGTGAAGGTCCCTGCTGTCTGTCACACCCTTGTGTCTTTCCGTCTTGCATCTGTATGACCTGCATTTCCACCATTGTCTGTCTGTTCACACCCCATGCCACTGCCACCACAGGGGATAGCGCCGGCGCTTCCTGTGCGCCTCCTCACCGGTGGCCCCCTCCGCTCCGTTGTGGGCGTGACTATCTTTGGTGTGTGTCTTGTATACAGGAAGCTCGGGGCTCTGGCCCCCAGAGCTGGGACATGCTGCTTTTGGAGTGTATGTGCTGGCTCTCCGCACTGTGCGTTAACAATAAACTTACGCTTTTGATCAGACAAAGGACCTTTGAGTTTTCTCCTTCATGGGGTATATAATTCTATAACAATTTGGCGTTGCTGACATGTCTTGGCATGGATACTTTCGGCGGGGACGAGCGGCTTTGTTTGGCCGACCTGGATCACCAGCCTCTGTTCCTTTTTGGAGACAAAGGAGGGCGCGCTCGTCCCGCGCACGGAAGGAATTCTTTTGCCACACAAGACCAAAAAGAACCTAATCTGGTGAGTCTTGTCTTTTCATCTGCGTAACGAGCCCAGGGCAGCACTTAAGTGTACACGGGGATTTGTTTATTTATGTATTTTTGGGGTATTTCATTCATTGCCACAGCATAGTCTGTGTGCGGGATTTTTTGGGGGGCTTTTTGTTCTAGATTGAAACTAGCGGCTGCGCGTTAGTATCGCATTGTAAGCGACCCTGGAATCTCTGAGTGTCTTCAGCCAGAACCGCTCCGTTTTCAAGAACGCGCGCTCGCTGGTTGAACCAGCGGGGGGGGGAACGGAGCGCCCCAAAGTGGGTAGGAGCAGGGAGAGACTAAGCGGGTTAGGCCCATTGTTCGTACGAGAAAATGGGTAAAAAACTAGAAGAAGAAGACGCAAGCTATGGAGTGCTTGCCTATGGTGCAGGCCATTACGCATCTTGCGTGATAATTTAGAAGAAGAAGGGAAGAAAAAAAATATACTTGGTTTTAAGAATATCACGGCAAAAGAGGTTAGAGAAAGAAATATGTAAAAACAATAGCTCCTCCGCCTTTCACCGAAGCGGAGAACACAGGCGGACACACACACACACATCCCCCACACCCCCACCCTACCCCTACTAACAATAAGTGTGCACCCAAACAAGGCGTTGGGTTTTTAAAAAATGAAGCAGACTACTGTTGTCTCTTTTCCCTCTCCCTTATCCAGGTCTGTCGGCGCCTTTCCTCCGCGCTCTGTCCTCTGCCTCAAAGCACCAGCCCCACGCCCCAACCACAGGCGGCGCCCGCACCAGCTGAGACCCCGCGAGAAGTGGGCCCAAACCGCAGAAGAAGAAGAGGCGGAAACAGACACACGCTCAGGAAACCACAGAAGAAGAAGCGAGGGAAACAAATATGTGAGACACCGACAACTGCTTTGGAGCACAGAGAGAAACTGCTCCAAATCCCGTGACTGTTCTCCACGGAGGGGGCAGCGTGATATACCAAACGCACCCGCGGAAACCCGCTTGAAAGTTGTTCCCGCACCGCAAACAGAAGAAGCCATTGTGACCGGCACGTTTGGGTTATTCACCAACCCTCATGGACCACATGCTAACGCTTTGGGCTACCTGGGCCTCCTGCGGACTTTGAAAAACTTCCACAGCCCGGCGGAAAGACTGTGTGCTCGACATGGGTCGAAGGACTGTTACCGGAGGAGGCGTTAAAGGCAGAGGGCCTCTCAAGCTCACACGGGGCCAGAGGACGGCAGAGGCGGGCACGGAGGAAACACGAGCGACTGACCAAACCCGGGTTCACATTCGTCACCAAAGCGGCCGCTCATGTAAGTTTGAACAACAACAAATTGCAATTGGCACTTTTTAGAGATAATTCATGCTGAATTCCCGTAATATACGCTAACAATCTGTGGTGCAACAGTTAAAATTCTGGATGATTACAACAAATCCTGTGTTTAAAAACAAAACATAAGGTGACAGATTTTGGTCCGTTCTCAAGTGAGTGGTCGCTTCACAAAACTCATGGCTTCAGTTAGGGCTGGGCAATTAATCGATTTTAATCATTAATTCGAGTTTTACATTTAGGGCGATTTCTTTTCTTTTAAAATTCGATTTTTTATTTTCTCCATCGCAGAACTACAGCGCTAACGCGCTAACCGCGGGTCTATGGTGTTGAACAGTCATTTTGAAGCTAACCTAATGCTAACAGGCTCCCTCTGGCCTGATGCGCGCTCTCACAGTTGGTGCTGTTGCAATAACACTTCAAACGGTCAAGAATCAGACTTTATTTAAATCGCCAGAACACACACTCGTGTCCCACTGAGCCGCTGCACTTTGGGGAAAGACACGTCTCTTATTGCTCTGATACAAACAACGTGTTCCCCGCTAGCTGTTAGCTACAGTAGCTGCTACAGTAGCTGTTAGCTACAGCATCAGAATGTAAACAGGAAGCTCGCACAATGCGGGAGCCACTGAAGTTAGTATTAGCGCCACCAGCTGGACCGAGCGTTGTACTACAGCACAGTTACTCAGGCACAGTTGGAAGAACAAGCATGAAAACCCGAGGAGGCTTTTGGAACAGACTGTCTGTTACAACATTTCTATTTTGAGTCATCAGTTTTAAAAATGTGATATTTCATGTAAATAATGCATGTGTTTAATAGGATTGATATATTTGCGATGGGCCTTGTTTGTGTGATTTAAGTTATTTGAAAGGTGCATAGTGTCATTGTAAGTGAAGTTATTATAAAACCGTTAAGCTACATTTTCGTAACAAGAGCTCATTAGAGATATAGGGGACACCATTTGTGATAAGCCCGAAATACAGACCACGTGGTAAACACTAAAGTTGGAAATGGATTTCTTTTTTTTTAGGAAAAATCTCTTAAAAAGCTTTGCATGTTCTGCAGGCTCTGGAAGTTGCAACAATAGGAATAGCTCATGAGACAATTGTAATTGGACATGGAAAATATAACAAAGTTAAAATACAGGCCTTCTGTGTGTGTTACATGTTTGTGTGTTATATGTTTTGTGTATGTTATATGTTTGTGTGTCATGTCAAAGTACACTACGTCGACCTTAACAAACTGGACCAAAATACTAACGTGGGGGAATCGGCCTGTGATGTGACTGTGATGTGACTGTGATATGAGTGTGATGTGTGAAATAAGGAGTGAACTGAGGAATGCTGAACGGAATCATGGAATAACAAATGTGTCTGTAATGTTTTAATGTGATCATGGAATAATTATTTTTTTGTCAACAGCATACGGTGTAAGTACTAGAGATTCAAAGATAACAAGCTTT